TCTGAGGAATACGTTGCAAATAAAAGGTCATCCTGAAGCTGAATTGCACTCCGACCTGCACAGAGTTGAAGAGTTTGGAGAGTTTGCTGTTGCAGCGTCACAAACGGCACAAAGGTGGTCTGTTTAAAAACTTGACAGTTGTGTAGTTTTATTTAAATTCAAGGTGAACGTGGGCTCATCAGGCACGGACTGGAGGGCGTGGTCACACAGACTCGGGCCCTCGTGGAGGCGTGGTCTTCAAACTGATTAATGCTCAGTTTGGAAAATTTTAATCACACATGTTAAACCTAAAATCACTTACGTGGTACAAACGTGTGTGTGTGTGTGTGAGTGAGAGAGGGAGTGATTACAGGACTAACGGTGTGCGTTGGGTCTTGGTGTTTTTGGCACTCTGAGGTGTGGTTGTTTCTTTCTGCGGCTGACTTCAGGTTAGTTTGTGTGAAAAGCTTCTTCACATATTTTTTTTTCCTTCACAAACTGATGACGACTTTGTTTTAACTTAAAGAGCGAGACGAACATTTTATAAAAATATTAAATGGATGGTTGAATGTGTCGCTGGTATAATTAATAAAGATTTTTAAGAAGAGAGACGTGTTTGCAGTCTGTTCATTCACTCCACACAACAATATTTTCACGTTCCTCGTGTTATATTCTTCCACTGGACGTCCACCCACTACACCTGCAGTGGCTCCACACCCTTCATTTCCCACAGATTAAAGCAACACCTTCTTTTTCCACTCTGCATGCTAAACAGCTGCTCTCTAACACTTACAGCAGCCTCTGTGGGTTTTCAGCACGCTGCAATGATGCATTCAACAATGCAGCAATATGAAGCTGCAAACCAAAGACTGTAGATAGAAGATGGACAGCCAAAGCTTGTGTGTTAAAGAGAAACCGAGGTTACAAAAAGAAGCCTGAGGGAAACAGATTCTTAAATCCGGTGATTTAAAACCTCATTAAACACTTTCCTGATGCGTTTATGGTCTAACCCAAGTTTCATGGTTGTAATGAATAAAATGTTTTCTCTTGTATCAGCCGCAATTGATTGGTTTCTGTTCCTGGTATGAAAGCGTCTGAAAGTATTTTTTAATCTCCACCCCTCTTCA